TTTCTAGAACTATACGCACTATACGTATCACTATACGTATAGTATTATACGTATAGTACTGATCTGCCCATCTCTAATCGGAAGAGTAGGGTTCTATAGAAACCATCAACAACCCAACAAAATTCAAATCGAGTGGAAAGCGAAAGAGACAGTTCAAGAAGAAGAGTTGGAGGATTTGCAGAGGAAAAGGAAGAATTAAAAAGAGGAAAAGAAATAGAAGGTAAAAAAGCAGACAATGGAAGGGTGCGATTTTCCAAAGTAGGGGACTAAAGGAACTAGTCATAGTGATAATAATAACTTCTCTATGTAAGATTTATCTTTATGCTATTTTGCTGTCAACTGTGATAGATGTGACATCATTAAAGAACTTTTTACTTATGTTTTTATTTTTGCATATAAGATGTAACAGTAAATAAATACATGTTAGTCCTTTCTAAAAGAAAACTCAACAAAATCGCCATTATCCTTTTGTGATGTGAGAAACTCTGTGAAAACTCCAAGCTCATGCAAATCGTTCTTAGCCTCGACAAATTTTTTTTGAACTTTTCTAAAGAATCACGGTTTTCTTGTGATGCAATTTCTATTAAAATGTTTGATCAATAATTTTGGGCGGCCACTTCTTGGTGTACCTTTTAGGCTTTATGCACTCTCATAACACTTATGGCATCACAAACTGTAGTATTTGGAATATTAAATGTTTTCCGAATTTTGCAACAGTACTGCAACTTATTATTCAAGACACAAAGTTTTTCCTCGCTCAGCCCAATTAATCCTGAATTTTATTTTTTTTTAGCATTTTTAAGAATCAAAAATAAGAAATAATATTTTTTATCTAGTCAATTTTATTGAGATTAGTTTGTTTCTAATAACGAAATTTCTACACGTAAATTATCTGATTAATTGTTCATGAGAGCCTAAACTATATAATTAAAAAATCGCGATTTCACTTTAACTAAAAACAATACACTTCAAGTTTGTCGAAAAGAGCTGTAAAGTTTGTAACTTGTAATTGATAATTGGTAGGTTTCGATGGTGTGCGAAGTCTGTAGTCACCATTCTCGCATGTAATTTTAAAAGAATAGAAGTCCATTTCTGTTGATCTTTTTAAAAATAATTCTGCATATATTGAAATTCAACTTTATCGTAGCAGAAAATTGATTGGTTGATGAGTTCTATTCTTTTTTAGTTCATGTATTTTACTAGGCAGTAACTATATGCTTCGCGCACCATATAGCATTTCGAATTTTTCTGTTAAACCCATTCCTTCATATCATCTGTTTACACATAATTATAAAGATACAACGAATAATCATAATAATCTAAATAAGAAAGCTGAATAATTTGTTAAAATTAAGTACAAAAATAGAAAAAATAAGAGATGGTATAACAGCAATGACAATTGTGTAGAATTTCTTTACGTGAAATTAGTAAGTTGTTTTCATCAAGTAACTAGATTAGAAGATCTGAAGACGGTGGTATTATTTTATTTGAGAAAGAAAACATTTCTCCCAAAATATTCAAAATTCTTTTAAAGCACTTTTTAGCTTTAATAATTATCACTCTTTTAGCATTTTTTCATGACAACAGGACATGTGACTATGACCATAATCACGTAATATATTGACGGTCATGAATTGTTCTGATAAAATAATAAAGGTTTGATTAAGCTTTCACATCTCTTTATTTTGTTATTGAATTTTATTTTATCATTGCTTAACTGGTCTCTTAATCTAGCTACATAACTAACAAATAATAAAGCTTTGCCTGGTACTATTTAATCTCAATAATTTACGAATTTAATATATTAATATGTCCCAAATATATATAGGATGTTAAAGGCATGAAGACACAGTATGAGACGTAGTAATGGATACATTTTATTTTTTTTATAACTGATAACAATTGATTTATTGATTCGGGCATATCTGATTGAGTTGTATGAAAAAAAACTAATTATAATAATTTATTACACGATATTTATTATGTCTTCCGCGTATAAAAAATATATGCACAAGTCAAACTTATTTATTTATTGCAGTATTAATACACTTGACTGGTTGCTGTGCTTTCTTCATTTATGAAATACGTATACTGTAAATAATATCAATGAGCACAATTACTCAAGTAAATACTGCAATAGAGAAAAGGAGTATATATAAATGAAAACACCTTTATCGCAATATAAGTAAAAGGCAATAATTTGAATGTAAAAGGCATATAAAGAGAGTCAGAAGTGCTAATATAGTCTGTACTAACCAACACATGTTTCACCAACATAATGGTATTGTGAATCATTAAAGCTTGCATGGCTGTAATTAAACCAACAATAAGAGAGAGTACCAAAAAATATTCCAACCCAAATATTCACTCACCTCTGCTGTGCCCATTGGAAAGTGATATTCTTCTATCCTACATAATTTTGACAAACAATGCAACCCAAACAGAATAAAATTTGTAAAACCATACATAAGGCAAGACAGTATTGAGATCACTTTCATTTTTGGAGAAGTTGCAATTATATGGTGTGGTTGTTACACGATTTGAAGTTGCGAAAATTATATAAATGTATAGAAAAGATCTTCGGGATATTATTGCTTTACAATATACCTAATACTGTTACAATGTTAAGAAGGAATATACCATTATCTTCTAATTCTTCCTCCTCCTCCTCCTCCTCCTCTTCTTCTTCTTCAAACTCCACTCCCACCACCACCGCCACCAAATTCAAGCCCACACTAAAAATCAATAATGATGATTCTGAAATTATTAAAAAAAAGAAATCTAAAGATATAATTTGGAAGTTTTGGAAAAGTAAAAGAAAAGAACAGGCATCTTCATTAACTTTACAAACCGAAAAAAATTTAGAGACTTCTAAAAAAGAACAAAATATAACAAATGTAAATAATACAAAAAATACATCAATTGGTATCATCAATTTATCAATTCAATCAAACGATCTATTTGGTTTGGGACAATTATCCAACACTTTGTTAATACTTCATGAAAGTCATGTAAAATTCCTTTCTAATCAACAAGAACCTTTAAAATGGTTGATAATTATTTGGGAGATGGTTTTTCTTACAATATTTTTGTTGTATTTGAGTAAATTTGTAATATTAAGTTTGGGATTGGTTGATAGTGTGATGAGAGGTATTGTTAGTGTTGTAGGTTTTGGCGGTTATTTGACTTCTGGCATAGCTAAAGGAATCTATAATCTAGTTAATTTTAATTTCTTTTAAAATTACACACACATATATATACACCCGTGTATAATTAATTATTGATTCTGTTTTTTTATGGAATCATAACTTTCATTTGTAGTCATAATTAATTTTTGTGAATAAACAAAGTAAATAATAAATAATAATAAAAATTAACATCCAGTCATTCTTAGAAAATATCAAACTGGTCAAGAAATACCAAATCATCTGATAAACAAACCACCAAAGATAATATCTATTAGATGAAGAAATGAGTCAATTATTGCAAAGGATTGGGGGATAGATGTGCTAATCATTAATCAGACAAATTTGATGAATTTGAAAAAACAATATACAAAGGTACATTGGGTGAAGCTTTTTTACTTGTAAATACGAGAAGAGAGAAGAAATTAAAAATGTTTTAATAAATAAAAAATTTTTTTTTAATCAATAAAATAAATAATTTTTATTTGATTATTTTTTTTTTTCTTAAATTTATTTATTTGTTATGACCTATCACCCACAAATACAAAGACACGGTCTGCGTTATCCACATTCGGAACCCTACCAAATCTTGATAAAGGCCATACTATATGAGTGACTTTAGAATGAATTAAACCTAACGGAACCTTTTAAAATAAATAAATTTATAAATGATATATAAATTCATTTTTTAAAATGAGAAAAAATGAAATATTAATTACCGGACCAAATGTATTACTATCTTTACTGTGAAATTTTTCATCGCCTTCAACCCAACAATATCCATCAGGTATTCGTACCAAGCGTTTTGCATGAGGAGGTAATGTAAACACTGTATCGCCCTCTAATGCTATAATTCGTTTTATTAATTTTTTGTCTGGATCTTCTGGTGAGCTTTATTTATTAATATTACACACATCTTAACATTAGAGAAAATTTACTAAAAAATAAATTATTATTTTTTTTTTTTTTTTTAATAAAAATTGGTTTTTTAATACATACTATAATGCCACAACATCTCCTCTAGAATATTGGTGTGCTATGGTAGCCCATCGATTTAATATAACAACATCTCTACGAAGTTTGTTTGAATCTGGGTTAAATGTTGGCTGTTTAATTTTTATTTTATGAATTTTTTTTTATCTTTTCTTATTTATAAGTCTAAGTTTTGTTTTTTTTTTTGGGTAGCATAGTCTAAATTTATATATATATATTCTTTCATGTTTTCTTTTAGTTTTCCCTCCTTTTCTCTCTCTCACACACACTCTTTATCATTATTAATTAATTAATACCTGCATTGAAAGTCCATTAACTGAAGCTAAACCAAATCCATGATCAATAAAAAACGATATCACAGGAATCCAACTTGCATATCGAATAAAAGTATGAAATCTTTCGCCAAAAATTGACATTTTTTAAAAAAAAAAAAATTATTGTATTGATAATCATGAAAAAAGCCACCAGAATAAATAAATGACGTGTGTAATCCCCTATAATAAGAATAAAGAATTATAATTCTCTTTTTTCCAATCATTTAATAATGAATCAAAAAGATACTGAATACCTTTCTTTCCTTGAAAAAGTTTCACAAAATAATAATGCCCCTCAAGATGAGAATAAACAGATGATATTGGGAAAACCTTTAGATCCCAACTCTTTACCCAACGAGATTAAACATATAAGAGAACAGCTACTTAAAGCCAGCTCTCAACTAGTATACATTTCAGAAGGTGAAGAACCTTATGAATTTGTATTTATTTCGGCAAAAGAGGTAAAAAATTTACCAGAAAACTCAAAAGAATTTACAAATTTAATTCGAGCAAAAAACATTGATTTAATGATAGAAGATGAAAAATCAAATCAACATTCATCAGATCATGTAATTGATTTTCAACAATTTTTCAATGAAAGTGTTGCTTCGTCGGCGGAAGACCTATATGGAATGAAAGATGGGTACAGAGAATTAGCTAAAACATTCTTGGATATTTTTCATAATGAAGGGAATATAAAAATTTATAGGATTGGTGCAAGAAGAGTTGGTTTATATATTGTAGGATTGGTGGAAGACTTTGGTATTGCCGGATTAAAAACCTTAAGTATTGAAACATAAAAAAAGAATCGGTCAAATAAATAACAATAATAATAATTTCAAAAAATTACATGATCTGATGCAAAATCAATTAAAAAAGAATTTAATAAAATGTGCAAAATAGAATTCGATCCTTTTAACAATCACGGCAATGTTACATCCAGATGCTGTTTATATTAGCAAGATTATTAATTATAATTAAAATTTACAAATCTTTTACACAACCTGTAGATAGTGGTAATTATTGACTCGCATTAATTAACTGTTATTTTATTCTTGATTGTTTAATCATTTTTAAATGTCAATGTTAGCGTCAATGTCAAATGTCAATGTCAAGGATAAGGATATGAAAATATATAATCGTGTAACTCTTTATTTATTTGTCAAGTTTTTTTTATCAAGTTTTTGGTTTTGCTTAAAGCAAATTTATAAATATTACATATGTATTATCAGCAGATTTTGATCGAGTATGATTAAAATCCACTTTTAATTTTAGAATGTATAACAATATAAATAAAAGAAAAAAAGTCCTTTATATTAACGACGATGACAGTGAATTGTATTGGAAAAAACAAGATTAGCAGTGAATTAGTATATATAAGAAAATAGTAGGGGTAACGATTAAATTGGTAAATAAATAAGTAGGTAAACTGATGACAAACAAACATTAATATATTATTGTCTCGTTTTTAATGAAAAGAAATTATTATAAACAAAGGAGTTAATATATATATGTGTATATGTGTATATATATATATATATATATATATATATATACATGTGTGTATCAATAATAATAAAAAATTAAAAAACTAAAAAAATTATTATTTGCATCATCCTAAAACTACATTTATGGCAGCATTGATTAATCCTGCTTCTTCAATTGTTTCATCAATTTTTTCAATCAAGTTATTCCTTAAATAATTTAACTGCAAATAAAATATGGGAAAATATAAATTATTATTATAGTTGTCATTGATTAAGAAAATGCCACACACATTAAATGTTTATTTTACCTCAAAAAACTTATCATTGAGTTCGGGAACTGACGCTTTTAAATACTCAAACATATATCGTACTGGGTCTTTTTTATTAAATTTTTTAATAACATGTCGGCCTATTTCCCCACAATAAATAAACCAATCAGTTAATCATTAGCATCTATAACAACAATAACAACAATGATGATGACCACAACTTACCTTCCAATCGAAACTTTATACTCGTAGATTTTGGACCTGTTTGATCTGGCCTTTCAATTGGCTTAATAGAATCAAATATAGATTTATATGGAATTTCTACATATTACAAACGTTGTAATATTTAACTATCATGCGATTTAATATTATTTTTTATATATATAAAATTAAATAGATAATCAATTATATTACTACCTTCAAAAACTGGATGAACTTTGGGTACTTCTTTTTCCTTTTTAAGGAAAGTATTTTGATCATCACCACCAGTATCATTTGAAATTTGTGGTTCTGCTTTTGATTGATCATCTACAGACATTTCTGAGGTACCCTTTAAATTCAATATATTAATTATTAATTATAAATGTCAAAGAAAGTAACCAATAATTTAATTCTTTCATTTAATAATAGTTACATCTGAAGTTTTTTTTGCAGTGGAAGATTCTGAATGATTTGGTTCTTCATTCAATGAATATTTATCCAAGAAATCCGTCACTTTTATTCAACAAAATAATAAATATGAATAATTATTAATGTATGTATATACATATAATACCAATCAGGGAAGAAGAAATACACATACCATTAATTATAAATTCCGTTGGTTCGAGTTGAGAATCCCAAACTTTCAATCGTTCCCCTGTTTTTTTGTTTTTTGTTTTTTGTTTTTGTTTTTTTTTTTTTTATTTATTTTATTAAAATAATTTATTTATTAAAAAAAATTTTTATAATAGATAATAAATAATTTTAAACAAACCCGTTCTTGGATCAATCACAGCAACATGTGGGTATTTATAAACAGGATAGAAGTTTATGTATTTAGAACCGTCCGTACTATCTGAATTGTACTAAATTTTTTTAAAAACATAGTTCAATGTTAAAATTGTATTTTAATCATTTACAACTTAATAATAATATTATTATTATTACTAATATTTCTTTGCATAACTACCTGAAGAAAACAAAAATGTGCTCTAATAATATCTTTGACGGTATCATTACTCCATAGGTCACGATTAAGCGCTTGAGAAGAAAATTCTCCTATGCTTTGAATATTGATCATAATCCATTTTCCTGATGATTTTGCCCTGTTACGTGTCTTTGATCATCGTTATTAACATCATCATAATTATTAACAAAAATGATAAAATGATAAAGATTACAACTCGCTAAACCAATTATTCCAATTGATTGATTTGTTTATTTATTAATGAATTAATTACCATTTCAAAATTCTCTGTGCTCATGATATCGAACGGAGGACTGAACATTTTGACTAATCTATCAGGTTTATTGGCCACTATCAAATATTAATGATTATGATGAATTAATTAATGTATTGGTTGAAATTGATTATTATTGAAATTGTGTGTTGATTGATATTGAATTAATTTGATTGATTGATTGATTGATTAATAAAATAATCGATTTGAATTAATTGATTAATTGATTTTATTAATTAATCAAATGCTATACTGTTATTAATATAGAATATATATACGCACACATATCATGATGAGGACGGATATCTCCAGCAAAAGTTCTATGCTGTTGTTCACGTGAGCGCCGAGCATTTGGTACTAACAAATTATCACAGAAAAGAAAAAAGAAAGAATTAATCTAATTATAAGGATATAAGCATGCAGGCATATATGTTTATGGACAATTAAGTCTGCATATGTAGTAGTGATATGGATAGATCATATTATATAAATTTATTTCCATCATACTTGAATAAGAGCCACCACCATTAACATTACCAAATAATATATCACTTCTAGGTGGAATAGGTGCACGAACCCCTGCTGCCTTTTCTTCTTGTTGATAAAGCAATTTAGCTAATTCTTCATCTGCATCAATTTGAGAAATTTTAGTAATCTCTTCGTCATCTTCATTATCTAAATCCATGCCATCGTCATCGTCAAGAACAATAGGTTTAGAACTAGAAGTAGCTGTCGTCGTATTTTCTGTTGTGGTGGTGGTGTTTTCATCGTTTTCATCGTTTTCATCATCAACGTCGATGGTAGTAATTGTTGTTCCATTTGTTGTTGCATTTGTTGTTGCATTTGTTGTAATTTGTGGTGTTGTTGTTGTTTCTTCTCTTATAGTAACGTTGTTATTTTCGGGAGGAAAAGTTTGACGTGATGATTGCGGTGGTGCTTGGATGTCATCCCCGAAATAAAGAAGAACAGCAAGTTCTATATTGTCGTCTGTAGCCTTTTATTTGAATCCATTAGAACAGAAAAAATTAGCACATTACAATTTTTTATATAAAATAAATAAAAAAGAAAAACTGATAAAATACTGTTAAATAACTTTGTGCTTCTTCAAAAGAAGCGTTCGTTAGAGAGCGGAATTGATCTATAGCGTCGTTATTAATATTTCCGGACATTTCTTTTTTAAAAAAAAAAAATTTTTTTTACAATAAATACTTTATATTGTATTATTTATTCAAAGATGTTTCATAATTCACAAGTTTGTATTTCAACTAAAATCTTTCTATTTTGTATACGCATCTATTTTTAAAACCATATTTTTTTTATAAAAACTTAATAATTTATAACGTAATGCATGAAGGCGATCAATTTGAAAGTTATGAATTCGATGAAGACGAAGGTTTTGTAAACGATGAAGAAGTAGGAGATCTTGACATCAATGGCTTTATTGACCAGAATGGATGGCTGGTAAAGGTAATAAATAAAGATAAATATAACATAAATTTTATTTATTCCATTCATTCATACATTTATTCATATTAGTTTATATTAATTCTAGTTGCCAAACTTCTTGTATCAAAAATGGACAAAATTAGAAACTCCTAATAAAACTTTGGGGAGAATAGAGGTTTATCACGATGCAAAGTATAAATAAATAAAATAAAGCATTTTTTGCTATTTACTTATTTACAAAAATAATCAACCATTCGATTAATGTATCAATTTATTTGTTTAATATCCAACAATCAGTGGGATGTTTCCTCCAAAGGTAAAAATGATGAAAATATCTTTCTTTTTTTTTCTTCTTCTTGAAATTTAGATGATGAAAAAAATTTTTTTTTCATAGTATAAACTAGTATTGGAGGATGATGATGCAAATATAGACGTTCCAAAACAATATGATATAGAAAACTTACTTGGCACAATGGATAGTACTTATTTTTTTGATTACGATGTTGAAAATGAAGGTAATTATTGATTGTACATTTATTTATTTATAGATATTATTATCCAAAGGTATATTAATTATTATCATTACTATCATTGCTGTTATTTGTTTTAGCTGTACAAATTGCAGGTACTGTTTCAGATAATCGATTTTTAAGACCTGCTTTTGACGAAGATTACAGAAGAAATTTAAGACAAAGAACACTTCAAGCCTCAAAACCAAAAAGACCAATAAAAATGATCGAAAGTAACGAGAATAGAGGTGGTTATGTACCACCTGGTTCTTCCGCTGCTGCTGTCGCCAAGTTTGGAAATCTTGTGGTATGAATAATAATATTATTATAACCACTATTTATAATTCACATATATACATTGAATAACCAACGGCTTATATATATGTTGTATGTTATAGAAAAAGAAACAAAAAGTTACAAATGAACAAAAAACAACACGTATGCCAGACGAACAACTTGTTAATCTGTTATTTCATGCTTTTGAACAATATAAATATTGGACGTTTAAAGGATTAAAAGATTATGTAAAACAACCCGAGGTAACACACACACACACACATATTTAATAATTTAATTAATATATTTAATTAACAATTTAATTAACAAAAAAATCAAATTTTTAATAGTCATTTTTAAAAGATAAATTAAATGAAATAGCAGTATTAGACAAACGTGGTCCATACAATAACTGTTATCATTTAAAGCCGGAATATACTCGAAAATCATCACAAACTTCCGAAGCAATAGCACCAGCTGGTTTAGAAGCACCAGGATCATCAGGAGATATGGTTGTCGGTGATGATGATAATGATGCTGATGATGGTGATGGTGAACTTATGGATAATGATGATGATGGAGTAATGATCGAACCAATAGATTCAGAAGAAGATTTATTTGGAGAAGAAGTTTGATTTTTTGATTTTTAATTAAACAGCAAAAAGCATTAATATAAAACCATGAAATGTGTAATAACCTGGCTAAAATTTCTCAAGTAAAAAATTTGTTTACGGGAATGAATATTGACTATTATTTATTAAAATTATTTCCAGATAATATCGAATTACAAAATTTTATTTTTTAATACTATAATGATGACAACATCTTTTGGTAATTAATGCTTTGAGCTTAGTGATCCCTTAAATGCTATATAATCCTTAGTCTTATAGATCCCTTTAAATTTTAAGGATCCCTTAATACAGAATTTACAAGGAGTCCTACATAATTAAATTAACATCGATAAAATAAATATCACTGGTCGAAATTATCTTGTTCGAGATTGACATTGTTCAATGCTTATTGCTGACTGTTTATTTTTTACAGTAATAATAATAAATATATCAAATATGGCTTTTCTTCCTACGAATTAATTTTCTCTGTATATACGTATTTTTTCTCTTTCAAAAATGGTAAAATAATCTTTGAAAAGGTAGGTTTTCAGACATGGCAATTCCGTCTATGAGTCCACGCAAAGCCAAATGATTATCATTGAGTTCTACAGCCATGGATTGCGATATGATCATGTACTATTTAAATACCTCCAAAAAACAACTATATATGATCAAAAGGGAAGCACATTGTTTGTCACGGGAAATTTGGAATGTGCTTCATAATCTATATTACTATCACTATGGTTACTGGTACTATGACTTAAAAAGAAAATAAAATGGTCGATTACTTCGGCTCACTATATACATGGGCTACGAAGGAAAAATAGATTGATAAGAAAAAATACTAATTGGATTGGGATTAGCAATGTGAATTTATTCGAATCGTTTTATTCTCAATGTAATTCGAATACTCAAATTCATAATAATAATAATAATAACGAATAAAATGGATAATTTGAATAAACCTTATTCGAATAGAAACTCTACATATTATTATCTAAGAAAATTTTTTTGGTCCGATCTTTTTTGAAGATTTCGATAAAATTCTCTCAAACCGGGTGGGTATTCTCCCGATTACGATATTTATGATCGTACATTTCGCACCCTGATTCGAATTCGTTACCAGTTTCCTTTGATTCTGATCATCTTGAAGCCTGGCTGTTCCCGGATTTATTCTCAGACGGCCATGGATATTACAAAAAGATAAAGGTTATTCAAGGGATTGACAGCAGAGAATGGAAACATATGGGAGGTACATCATACAACGTTTTTTTGGCGTTTATTGAAGGCTCCGCCTGCATCAGTGTCGTGACCCAAAACTCTGAGTTTAGGGAAAACCCGAAACAGAAACTAACAGAAACCACCCGAAACTAGTTTAGGTTAGTAGTTTATGTTTATGTTTATGTTTATGTTTAGTTTTAGTTTTCTGCTTAGTGTAAGTTCATTTTCCGAAATGTTTCGGAAAGCCAAAAGAGTTTCTAGTCACAACACTGGCCTGCATCACCACTGGTCAGTATGATCATATCTCCAGCTCGAAAAACTTAGAAACTTCCAAAATGATGACGAGTTATCGGCCAGAAAAATGTGCGAATTAGATTCACCGACCCCGACGGCATTGGAAACATTCAAGGAAAGCACCTACAGGAGAATTGGTGATTCAGTGAAACAAACACATCAGCGTTCTATCGTTTATTCGAATTGGTGATACCTATTTCAACCAAAAATTGATGCACCTCAACATCATGATCCGAACCCAAATCTCCCAATTTTTCTCATTATTCTGCCAATGGCCTTCGACCATTGGACTCACCTACGTCATATTCTAAGAGCACCTGACGATTCTGATACAGCTACTTCAATCATTCTCTTGCACATAACTCTGCATTTTATCCATCGTCATCAAGTTTAATTTAGATTTGTGTGAGAGGTGCTGCAAAGATTTTTGAACGTGTGTAAAATTTCCTAAATTTTGCTAATGGCCTGGACGTTACCGCAATTTTTAATGATCTAGGGTCTTCTTCCAGTCATGCTTGGACGAATCCCACCATGATGGGAAATCACAATTGTAGCCAAGTGTTTTTTGTAACTGCAACTTGTCCTTTTGTGAGAATTGGTCAGATGATCTAGACGTGGCTGATTAGAGTTGTACTTGTAATTTACTCAAGGACACGCTAATGCAATTCTGTGATGGTAGCGGTTCTGGCAATAGGCATTGCTTTTGTATATATTATACCAGTTTATCCACAAATGGGACCTGTTAAATAGAAACAAGGAACGTTGCAAAGAGTCAAATTTTCAGTTAATATTAATAACACTTAAATGTGTAACTCATCATGACGAACATTCCATTAATCCACATACCCATATTTTGCATTTAATTTGGTAAGTGAATATTGTATTGTCTTCATTTTATTAATATGACATTCAATTAATAAAGAATTAACTAATTATTTCTCAATGAAACTTGGAGGAAATTTATTGACTTTAAGCAGGTTAAAACCTTGTTTCAAAAAGTTAAATATTATTTTACAAAATCACCTGCATGTAAAATAGTTATTTGAATTCTTACATCAAGAAAAGCACCAATTATAGTAAAAACTCATTGGAATACCTGGTTTTTTATACCAATGATTATATTACACATTGAAAGAATTTTTTTTCGACTTGTTGAAATGACTTCTCTTCTTAATCCAGAATATCACCATGGACAATATCTACACACATTTTGTTACAAACTTTGCAAAACAATTTGTGCGTGATCTTGACTTTTTTCAAGCCCACTTTTATTGATAATGGGCAAATGTGCGTTGAACAACATAGTGCGTATATTGCGCATAGTATGTATAGTGTTGAAATTTGGATGATTTTCAAAATGTAATACAAACTGATAATGACAAGAAAAAAATAAACAATAAACACGAACATTAAATCTTTATTTAATATATTCAACTTACACCCTTTATACTAAAGGTTTGATTTATATATCGAATCATTAATTATATTGAATGAATTAAATATCATAAAAATCAAAACTGCTTTCACTTTTATTTGATTCTTCAATAAAATTTTTGTGTGTTTCATCAGCTTCTTCAATGGCATTTTCAATTACGTTGTAATTTAACTGTATACTAGTATTTGAAGTATCAAAATGTTCTCCAAAATAATTTCTTTTAGTTTGAATTGTGGCATTTGGGACAAAGGCGCACATCTAGATACTAGACTAGCACATTGATATTTTTGGACTAGGCAATCAAAACGTAATTGCACATTACCTATGATAAGTTTATATCGTGAGAAGGTTATTTAAATTTTTATGTGTAACATTACATCATATTATTTGACAATAACCTAAACAGGAATTGATTTACATTTATAAATATAGTTCTAGAACTATACGCACTATCATGGGCTTGGGCATGTCAAATATTTAACCCTCCTTATTCCTTATGAGTTGATAATAGAATGATGAGTCAAGCGAACTTGATTCAAATTAATATTGATTAGGTATGTCACTACAATTACCATTAATATTAATTTCAAAAATCGCAATATATTTACATTTGGCTTCCTTTCGAGTTTTTATGCGCAGTTAATTATCATTGAAAAACTATTTAAATAAATTCTCATTGCAAATAACAATGGTACATAAATGTAACGTTATACATTGCAATTAGTTTCTAAATCTGTACCCGACTAAACCATTAAAATCGTGACATAGCCCATTTATACGCTTTTTTACTTACCTTGGAAAAATAAAAAATCGTTAAATAAACTGTATTTATTTATTTAGTTGTTAATTTTATAAATTCATGATGAAATCCAAATTCAAGAATGAACATCCTTTCGGTATTTCTTTTTTTTAATAAGTTTTTCTAAAGTTTAATAACACTTATAAATATTTTATTTTTATAAATCAAATCAAAACATATAGAAAAACGTAAAGGTGAAGCAGAAAAAATTAGGATAAAATATCCTGACAGAATTCCAGTAAGTTAAATATACAACCTTCTTTATTCCAAGCATCATATGTTTATATATAATATAAATATAAAATTTAGGTTATTTGTGAAAAAGCTGAAAAATCAGATATCGCTACAATTGATAAAAAGAAATATTTAGTTCCTGCAGATTTAACTGTTGGACAATTTGTTTATGTGATTCGTAAACGTATTAAACTGAGTTCTGAAAAGGCTATTTTTATTTTTGTTGGTGAAGTTCTTCCACCAACAGCAGCACTAATGTCAAATGTTTACGAAGAATATAAAGACAAGGATGGATTTTTATACGTAACGTAAGTTGATTTTTTTTTAAATATATATTAATACTATGTTCGTATACATATATATATGTTTAAATGCGTTGTTTTTTTAGATATTCTGGTGAAAATACATTTGGAATTTATTAAAAATTACTTATCTTCTTCCTAAGATTGATTTTGTATTTGTACTTTTTTTTTTCTTCTAGCTGATATTTTAATATATTTAATATAAATAAAGTGAGCAAAAAATAATTGTTTTCATCAAAAAATTTCTTTATTGTTGAATCACGATAAATCGATTGGTTTAATCGAATATAAAAAACGTACGAAAAAATTGTTTGTTACACATCATTCAATTCTTCTCCACATTCATTAATATTAATATTAATATTAATATTAAAACACCAAATCGAATTTATATTTTATATTTTCATGTCATGTCATTTGATAAATTATTATTATTATTATCACCAGAAAGAAAGGGATTTTTATATAAAACTTATGGTGAACTACTTAATAATGCTAATGTCAATTCTGATAGAGAAAATAGAAAAGAATTTTTTTTTTCATTAGTCAAGGAAAACAAGGAACTTTCTGAAAATGAAAAAGAATATTGTAAGGAAAAGTTTATTTATGAGTTTGAATTAAAAAATGCATGTGATGAATTGGGCAAACCAAAAGAATGTAACAAGTGTAAATTGACAAGATACTCTGATAGGTTCTGTGAAGGTTGTATCAGTTTACAATTACAGAGTCTTTTCACCACTTGGACATCTGGAAATAACATAATTGATGATTTTATTCAACAATGTCAAATGAAATCATCTCTGCCATATTTTATTTTAGAATGGATACCTTTTGAGCAATTTTATGATATAACAAAGTTGACAGAAGGTGGATTTAGTTCGATTTTTACTGCTACATGGACAAGAGGAAGAATAGTTGATTACAACGAAAATAAAAAGGAATTCACTTATTTAGAAAGGCAAAATGTAGTATTAAAAAGTTTAAATGATTCAAGCAATCCAGGAAAAGGCTTTTTTGATGAGGTTGGTAGTTGTCATTTAAAACAAAATAAATAATACTGTATTATATAATACTAATTGGTTTTATATTCAATAGGCAATGAATTATTGTAAAACTAAAGCAACACTGATTGTTAAGTGCCATGGTATAACTAAATTCCCAGATAATGGAAATTATGCAATAGTTTTAAATTATTTATCAGAAGGAAATTTAAGGGATTATTTACAAAACAATCATTTAACATTAAAAGACAGAATTACAATCTTTCATTATTTATGCCATGCATTATACCAGATACATTCAAAAGATTTAATCCATTGTGATTTACATAGTGGTAATATGCTTATGGAAGGAGATGGTTGCTATATTACAGATTTGGGATTATGTGGACCAGTTGATGAAAATTCATCAAATAAAGTCTATGGAATTGTATCATATGTTGCACCCGAACTACTTAGAGGTAAAAACACAAAGAACACCAAAGAAACTGATATCTATAGTGTTGGGATGTTAATGTGGGAAATATTTGCAGGACATCCACCATTTGATGATAGATCTCACAATCATCGTTTGATTTTTGATATATGTGAAGGTTTACGACCACCAATACTACCTGGAATGCCTGGTGGTTGTGTGCAAATGATGCAGAGGTGTTGGGATGTGGATCCATCAAAAAGACCAACTAGTAGAGAACTGGCTGATTTTGCTAGATATAAATGTAATGAAATTATTAAAAATAATAATAGTAATAATACTACTAGTAGCAGTAGTAATGGTTCACAACAAGCACACAAACCACATCCAGATGCATATCATAAAAGTAGAATCTTAGATGAAGAGATTGCTAAATCTAAAAGCTTGAAAATTTATACAAGTAATAGTTCGTTAAATAATCTTGATTGTGACTCTTTTTTCTAAATGTTAACAAAGGTAAATAAAAAAATTTCACTGCTTATTAATTAGAAATTACTACTTATTAATTATTACCAACAATATTAATCAATTAAATTCTAATAACAATAGTAAAAGAATTGATGGATGACTAATTTAATCTCCACTATAAATTTATTCTTTATTTTTTTATTTATCTTTTTATTTCGTCCTTATTTTATTTCTTATCTTGTAACAATATTTTTGAAATAATATTTTTACAATTTTTCGATTATTGTTAAATGGTGATATTGCAAGGTATCATTTGGTTAATTAACAATTATGAGCTAACTTTTGGGCTACTCTTGTCAGTTAATTCACAATAATTCGGTGCTTGTCAATTAATTAGTTTATTAATTTACGAATCTGTGAGCACCCTCCTCCTGAAGATCAATTGCATTATATCGTCGGAGGGACAAGTCAGATATTAGCCTTATGTGCTCAAGGAATAACAAATAAGTTTCCAGTAATCAAAATTGTATATTAAATTGTTTGGTGTTTCCGTGTTTCAAATTGTCCAAGTATCTATGAGATAGAGATCTCTAATAACAAATAACACAAACAATCATAATCTTGTGTACTTGCTCTCAAAAAATAGTTGTTGTAAAGAATGTCGGATAATTACCTATCATATAAAAGACTACAAGTTTTGCTCCACGTTTATTTAGGCTATTATATAAAAAATAAAGGCATAACAAAACAAATGAGTAAAATTAAAAATAAAAAAAAAAGATAAAGATTGGATTAAAAAAGTAACTTAATTCCTAATCAATGATTGATCATGCATCACGTTATTAATGTTAATATAATAATAATGTTCGAGTATGAGTGCATGGAAACTGAATTGTGTTCAGCAAAAGAGGAACTTAGCTCCTTGGGAACCATGATGGATACACAAGAAAAATATAAAAAAAAGACCTTGGAATACATATTTATAAGTTTTTTTTTGTGAGCTATATATTTTATTAAAGCAATTTCGTCAAACAACATGACAAGTACACAAAACTTCCTTCTAACAAATTTCATGCATATTTCTTGATTCGCATTATTATTATTAATTTTTTAAATGTGTTCGAAAATCGATTCGCATTGATTCTATTATTATAATTATTATTATTATTATTACTATTACTTTTACTATGCTCCAATTATCCAGTTAATCGGGCGTTGAAAATTTTTCAACGATTAATTGATGAATGATCGGTGGTGGCATGGAATAATTTTAATACAGTACATGTAAATAGATAACATCCTATTTTATCTCCACAGACTTCAGAATTTAGATGAAGATATTCAGCAGTGAGGCTCCGAACAAATCGAATTTTAAAGTGATTCGATTCGGCTCGATTCGAATTCAAACCGGATACAACCCACTAATTACATGCATAATTTTAATAATAGAAAAAAAAAAATTTCTCGTTATAGAAGAAATCACAGATTATTCATTATTTTATTGGAATTTTCACAAGCATTCCTTCAACAACAACAACAATGTCAACTGAACGCAGTCGACCAATTAGTGTTTCCAATACCTCTACCACCTCTACTGGTACCACCACAACTACCTCTGGTGCTGTTACAACTGCAACTAATAATGATAATGATGGTAATGATAATATTTTGCCTACTACATCTTCAAGTATAGTTGCTTCCACCTCCACCTCCACTTCCACACCTACTCTTACACAACGAGATGAAATTAAGCAAGGACGAAAAATTAAAAAAAATCGATCATCTATTCCAATATCAGCATCTCTATCAATCTCAAATACAACCACTACTATACAAGAACATGTAAAATTGATTAGTTCAGATGGATTCGAATTTTTGATAGAAAAAGATGCTGCATTTGTTTCACCAACTATGAAAAATATGTTATCAGGTTCTTTCTTTCTCTCTATATATATATGTGTGTGTGTACATATTTATACATTAACTAATAATTTTTTGAATGACTTTTAATGATAATAATATTGATAGGACAATTTATAGAAGCACAACAAAATACAATTCATTTTCCCGAAATCAAGTAATTTAACCTATCATCTTACATAAAAAATAAATAAATAGATAAAATAGACTGTAATGATATATGACTCATTAATATCTTTTCATTATTACTGTTATTATTATTATCAGAGCTGTGGTTCTTGAGAAGGTTTGTCAATATTTATACTACAAACTTCGATTTCAAAACAGTGAAAGAGACATAAGAGACATACCACCATTCGATATTGATCCTTATATGGCATTGGAATTACTTATGGTTGCTGACTTTTTACAATGTTAGAAAAAACATTAATAAAAACCATTTTTGCAACTGATAATAAAAATATTTATTTTATTTATTTTTTCTTATCAATATTAAGTTTGTGTTCACATTAATATTCTATTTAATTTATATATAATTAATTGTCAGAAGTTTTTACAGCATATATTCTTACAACACCAATACAATAAAGAATTTTTTATAAAGAAATGACAACACTTGTAACCCAAATACCACCTTGCAATATGATCCAAAACCAATTATTGGTATTAATAAACACTAAAATGAAATAAAAATGTTAGTTTTAAAATCATACAAGCAAAACATCCAAAAAACAAATTTTTGTTATTTACCATCTTCCTCATATTTAGATTTAGCCTTAGCCCTTTAGTTCTTGAACACTTGACATAAGTTTCAGATTGAGCTAAAATAATAGTAATTCTTTAGGTGGGGTGTCAAAATCCTCTTTGTTGCCAAAATTGATTCCTTATTGGAATCTTTTAACTTCCCTAGTTTCTGAAGAAAATCATGATAAAGTAGCTTATCTTGAGTTGGATTTGCTCACAAATAAATATCAGTACCTTTTTCATAAACTTTCTGTAAATCGGCCATTTTTAGCATACCACCAGTGTACATAAATGCCTGGACCATAAAGTATAAATAAGTAATAATTTAATTATTTATTAATTTATATATAAATATCTATTTGTATATGTGAATGTAAATGTAAATGTATTTATTAATACTTACATAATCAGATCCTATCCCTCTATTAGGATTGTCATGTATACGTGGGGTGGCTGAAAAGTAATGAGAAAATAGCTTTATTTCAAAAACTTTATTACAACTTTTAAAAAATTTTATT